GACGTTGTTTATATGAAATGCTCTGATAACTTTCTAGAGCAATGTTTTTACACGAAGTAGCTGCAGTTACGTACATGCGTCGTCCAGCATGCATCGAGATATTCGAACGGTAGAATTTTCAGTGAAAGATCGATCAACACTTCTACGCAGTTATTTCACCGTTGAATACACGAAAATAATGTAGTTGTATATACTAGTAATAAGTAGCGCTGTTAATCTTCGATAATTTTGAAACTTTGAGGAAAATTCGAACTTTCGAATTTTGATAAGGCGAAGTTTCGAAGGTTCGTTTTCAAAGATCATAATCTTCGAAGTTTTGAAGCTTCGAAGAGTTTCAATTTTACGAATGCTGTAGACTATATATGTGTTTACTTATATTTTACTCAGGGAATACTGTAAAGGAACTTTTGTAAATGAATGGATATACCAGACATCATATAGTTAAAAAATCTTATAATTCTGTTTACTATATAAACCAAACTTGAAGTGCTTCCTTACAGAGTCTCTAGTGCAGCATAAATCTCTCACACTAAAAATATATTACTCACACGGCGCAAATACCGGAATTATTTTAATAAATATTATGTTGTGATTGCAATGTATTTCACCCTTATGGCGATTTAAAAAAAAAATAGGTTGTAAGCCTATAAAAATAAGTCGTAAGTCGCAGCTGAAAGATTAAACTGGTTAAGTCACAAAATTTGACTTACGACACTTTCGAGGTAAGCGGCTTGAATTCAAGTGGCATTTTTGAAATTATAATGGATACTTGATTCAAGTGTATCCATTATAATTTCAAGTGTTAACGTAGCTCACACATCCCTGTACTTCGATAATATATTATATAGAATATTCTAGATCGACCGTGTATTGACCTGCCCGATTCTTTCTAGTTAGTTCTGGTCAGTTATCTTTATCGAAAATTTGTCGTTATGTAACGAAGAGTATATCCACTGAACTATATCGCAACTATGTATACTATACGGTTATCGCTCAGTCGATATCAATGTATCATACTTATCGTAATCTTATCAATCCTGTAATATAGAAAATTTACACTTTTAAACTTCCGTACGCGACGCGATGATAGTGCTTTTCTGATGTCGCACCTGTGCAGTAGCAATTCGATTGCACGGCACGCGCGAAAAAAGAATCTCGCCAAGAATGTATCGAAGGAATACGTAAGAGAACACGCGCTCAAATAAACGTTTCGCAATCAGTGTGCAATCAAAATATGCCTGTCCCATTTTCGCTCTAATGACAAACAATTAAATATGTAAAAGTCGAACACAACGCTTAGTCGAACGCGTTCTGTGTTCTGTAACGGTTTGCTTTCCATAAGATTAATTTGCACACAATACCGAAAAATAAATTTGAGCATCACCAAATGTTTAGTTAGGAAGAATTTTTTAATATCTACTTTATCTTTATTCTATATTTTGCTGCGGTAAAAAGTAATGCTATGTCGTTAATGCAATTGCTAATGTCATATCTCAAGATTTATAAACATTTTTGCCAAACAACAATGAAAAAAGTATAATCATAATATTAGGCCATTTTCAGCGATTAAAAGAAAAAATGCGGTGTCCGTTTTTTTCTCTTTTTTCCCTTTTTTAAGATGGCTTTTTTGAAGATAGCCGAAATTAGAGTGTGAAACGTTCGATTAAAAATTGTTAAAAGTATTGTTAATTTTAGTATTTAAATTGATTGCTCCTACATCGGCCTTTAACTTTTGCCCATTAATGTCATGATTACACCGTTTTCATTATTACAGTCATAATTTTTGTATTGATTTCCTTTGCCAAAATAAAATTTAGAAATCGAATTTACGTATTACGCTCTTACGATCTTATCAATGGTGTGTGAGTTTTAATTAACAAAGTGTTTTTCCTCTTTTTTTATGCAGGAAAATCCTAAAAAATGAAGGATGACTTGGACGAGGATGATGCTGGCACGTCTTCTTCAAGCGCGTCCATGCCGGAAAACACCACTTCAAATGGGTAAGTCAAGGCTGTTGTATTCCGAATCAGCACGCTAATTGTATCTCCGTTATCAAAGACGCGATCTATAACGGTGATATCGATAAAAACCTTTCTTCAACTTAATTTCTCGCATTACATAAAAGTGTAGGCTTATCGTTATTATTGCAATATGCTCCAGATAAAAAGCATCTTTTTATTTACTATACAATGGCGAAAATAATATTTGTAGTGGGTGTTAATCTCTAAAGACACATAAGTGTGTGTACGAAAATATGTACGATATTATACGTTTAGTTTAATTTGGGATATAAATACAAAAAGAAATTTGATAAAATTAACCACATGTCCATATAATCGACTGAACTTCTTTCTAGACTTCCAGTCTAGAGTGGAAATGTTACGTCACGTCTTGAAACTTGAAAGAATCGTCGAATTAGTTATCTTATTCAAAAGAAACGCACCTGGATCGTTCTCCAATTAAATAATATACACACGAAGCATTGCGTTGTACACTGTGTATGTATACGCGCTGACTCGAAAACATACGTGAAAGAGCTACTTCCACGACGAAGCTGCGCTACAAAGCGCGGTGTAGTTTACTGTTAATTCAATTATAGCTTCTTACGAATATAACCCCTGAGCGATCGCTGCTCTTCATGTTCGGTTAATTAATCAACCGTAAGTGCGGCGCATTACTGCACTCCCATCTGATCGGAACTGCCAGCTACGTGTTACGGCACGCAGCTGAGCAAAAGGGTTCGCTTTCCGAGTTGCTGAACGACGTCGACTGTGCGAAGCTTACGTACATGCTGCATGTTTGCTCGGTAGAGCCGTGATCGTTAACGCCAAAGGGACGTAACTTTGAGCGCGAGACCGGTGGGAAAAAAAATTTGCTCTTTGAATCCGCGCGAATTGCGTCATCACTTTTTATAATAATACAAAGATGTAACCAATGAAAAGTAATAGCTGGCGAAGGTAATTGGATAGACGCGAGAACGATATTATTAGAGTAATATTAGAATAATATTACGTCAGATTAAAACTAGTCAGGAAAACATGAATCACAAATGCCAGAACTTTTTCAGTTGCTTTATTTCATCTAATGATAGAGATTAATTTAGAAACGTCAGGTTATCATTTCTCGACCCATTCTTTTTGTCCGTTGAACGCCGAAAATTGCCGTTGTTTTGCGATTCTAACACGCCATTTAATTTTCATTTCGAACTTCGAAATTTTCAAACTAATGCCGTACGTTCACAGAAAAAAAAATAGTCTTAAATAAAGAATAGATATTTTTATGCACTGGTAAACTCATTTAGTTGACTCAAACAAAATTTGATTTGGATATGGGCAAACAAATGTTTTGGTTGTGAGAACTAAGATTTAGTTCTCCGAACCAAAAGTTTGGTTTGCTGAAATCTGAGACTAATTTTTTTTCCATATGGAAGCTAAGAATTTGTGTCGAGACGAAACAGCGATAAGAAGAGTTACGACGACGTTATACTGAACAATTCGCGTCGCTTTTATTTCCATGTGCATATAAAATGTTGCGATATATACCGAAATAGTGAGCTATATCTTTGTTTGTAGACAAACATTAGAAAGAAATTCGACGTCTCGTGCAACGCGAGCGCGGTCTTCGACTGCGGCTGTTCAATGCCGCAATAAGAGGGTTAAATGAATATTTGCTCTCGACGATAGGAAGAGAGAAACAGGGGCGAACTATGGCCCTATTATCGGACACAAATCATTGCATTCGACGCGTGCAGCGACGAAAATAATACGAAATATCACGCGAAATAAAAACCTGCCACGAAGCGGAATAAAATATGCCGCGCGCCGTGATTATTCCTCGGGTTAGAGTGAATTTTATTCGCGCTCTATTTGAAATACGAGTTCGGGTCGCGGAAAACGCTCGGTTAGAAAAATTGCAAATAATCGCATTGGGCAGATAGGTCATCGAGGAATTCAATGCCGCGCTTTTGCTGGCGCGTTTCAAAGCGAAAATTATTATCCCGTGTATTTGTGAGAATTAACTACGTAGTCCGTCTTGCAAAGGTTAGCCTTCGCGCGTTTACTTTGTGATGCGATTTTTGTATATCGCAGAAACCCCGATGTTTTTCTAGTGCTTCTCGTTCGCGACTTATATATTATTATAAGAGAGAGTCATGAGAAATACCCTCGGTGCCTCATTATCTGGCAAGTCGGGAAAACCCGTACCTTCTAGAACAATCTAATTCTGCGAAAAACGAACTACTTTTTCTCGATGACGAACAATAGGTGAAAATAGAATCATCGTTTAATGCAGCAGCGGATATGGCAGGAATATAGGATCACGTTTATGTGCTTGTAAAACTGCACGTTTATTTATTTCCTTACAGATTACATTTATATCCCCAAATTTCACGCGCATTCTCTAATGATGCGTGTACAGATAGATTACATCAAGACTCGCGTAATGAGCAAGGCTCGCGGCTAATTTGAACGGATATCCCGCAATATCCACAACTCGAACGCGTAAAAGATCGTTCGATTACATTCCATAATCGCACATTTTGCGTGTGTGTAAATATCATTAAGATACAAAAAGAGAGAGAGAAAGAAAGAGAGAGATGTATCAATATTTTGATACCCCGTCAGCCTGAAATACGTGTGAGAAAAGAAAACCCTCCCGCTCCCCTTGTGGACACAGCCTAAGAGAACCGCGTCGCGAGCGCACGCGTAAAGATACGTTCTACGAAAAAAGAAGGAAAAAAAAAGAGGTACGAAGAAAACGAATTCGCGTTGACTGCGCGCATGTATGTTCCGAAATTCCCTTCTTATCAGGCGACTCGCGAGCCGGCCGATGTGAGCGCGGCCTTAATGTGTCGTTATCACGCCAGGCGCTCGCGGCACGGATAGACGCGCCGGGAGCGGACGAAGGGAGGCGACGATTGGTCGTCTCGGCGAGAGGGGAAACGCTGATTGCCGGTCGGGTGGGGGTAACGCTCGTCGAGCAGTTCGCATCCGACTGCCGTGGGTCGCGTCTCGCCGGTATTCTCCTCTCTTTTTCTCACTCCGCGTGTGCGTCTATCGCTCCTCTTTCTCTCGTTCCCTTCCCATTCGGCCAATCCTGTCTCCGGCAGGGCCGCGTGATATGCCGGCTGACAGTTTCGCGAGTGCTCGCGCGATAGGTGCACGACGTCGCTGTGTCGCGTCGCGACGCGCCGCAATTTTTCGCGCGAACCTCGCCGCCCGCTGCGTTGTCGTTGCGAACAGCCCTTCGGCTCTCGGCGTCTTGCGACCCGACGCTGGAGAACGAGCGAAGGGGACGGAGATACCGAAACGGAGACTGCGACATCGTGTTGAAAAATCGCGATTTACCGCCGGTTTGATCGGCGAGACGCGCGCGCGAAGCGGCCGGTTGTTGATCATCGCGATCATCGACGGATCGCCGCTCACGGAATAAAGCCGCCGCCGCCGCCACGGTGAAAACATTCGGGACATTGTGTCAAGGCCAAGCGGCGGCAGTTCGCGCTTCGTGTCACCGCGCAGCGCATTTCTGCGCAACAGCCGCAACGACAGCCGAGGGAGAGAGAGTGATCCGTCGCACGCCCGCGATCTCTGGATCTCGCGATCGTTGAGAAACTCGCGCGATTGTGCAATCGCGCGAGCTCTTCCGATGGATTCCTCGCGGCTGCAAATCGCTGCGGGTCTGTCAGCAAAGCCGGTCGCTTCCGGTGGGGAATTCACGAGGCGGCGGCCGAGCGCGTAAACAAGAGGCGACGATCCACGGAGAACTGTCATCGAAGTCGGGAAGTCGCGATCGTCTGAGATCTCGTGCGGCGGAAAAAAAACAAAAACACGTCCGCTTCGAGCCGACTTGGTGACGTTTTATAGCGTGTAACAACACGACTGCATTGTATCCGTCCTCCGGGAATAGCGTTTGTACATTGTCGGGGTGCACGCTCGGCCGTTTGAAACGGGAAATGACGTATCGCGGGATTACGACGATGTGAAAACGTGGTCTCGCGGGAGCGACGGATCGCAGGGCGCCGGCACGGCTCATTGGCCGCGAGCTCGACGAACTTGCCGGCACGTTTACCGGACAGAGGTGACTCTATTATCGTCGCGCCAAGCAGCGATCACGATAAACCGGCCGGCGATCAGGCTAATTTTAATTCGGCCGGCAAACAAACCGGCGCGATAACGCGCGCGCGAGAGAAGCCCGAGTATTCGCTGGCGCGTCGTTGACTACGACGACAACAACGACGCATCTCCAGACGACGCTGCGTTCACCAATATGGCGCACGACGCCGGGACACCTGCTGCAAACGGTGACGCTCGCGCGAAATGTTTGCCGATGCAACCAAGTGAGAAGACTGAATAAAAGATACGCAGACGAGTGACACGGGTTTTCGGGGACGTAATCGACTTTTATACCGTCGCGTGAAAACCGTGATATTCGGAGAAGCGTGGAACCGTGCGTTGAAGGAGGGCGGACTTGGGAATGGCCAGCGAAAACGGGCGAGTCGTTCGAGCGGACAATTGAAAGAGAGAGAGAGAGAGAGAGAGAAAAAATTCTCCGTGGCGGGAACGCGCGCATATACGCATGTATCTCGACAAGTGCATCTCGGAGTACAACATGTGGCAGCAACAGCAGCAAGCGTACATGCGGGGTCTGCACGGGCAGCCGTGCCAGCAGCAAACGCACCATCCGGGGATTATCGGCACCGATGACCACGCGCATCATCAGCAGCAACATCACCCTCATCAGCACCATCGCGCCACCACCATCATGCCGGTACCAAGGTCAGGCTAGTTGTCTTATTATACGAGATAAGCTCGCGGGGTGTATCAAGGTGAACGGATATGCGTGTACGCACGCATACATGCACACGCACGCTGTTAGGGATCGCGTCTAATCGCCCTCGGACAGCCTTATTATGGCAACGGTGAATAACGGTGGTGCCTGAACTTCGTTAAACCGCGCTATTGTTATGAATCGCAGGCTCGTCTGGATGCCGCTCGACGAAAGCTCGGATCTCAGCGACGTGTTCTTTCGTCAACTCGATACATCGGACTTTCCTTACGAAAGCACCGTGCATTTATCTTTGCAATCGTCCACCTTTTTGTTCCGGCATAAAGTATCTCGATGATAAAATGCCGGATTACCTATTTTTCGCACGAAACGCGGATCCACGCGTCTATTTTTATTCGTATTCGGGAAAACAGAGGGATATTTCTCTTGTGATCCGGAAGGTCGTAAAAATGTATATCTCGGTTACATTTGACATTTTGATGCTTGATATATAAACACAATATAAAATGTTACGAATGCAAATTCAATATAATGTATATATACTCGGTCGCGATATTTTCGTATTAAACAGTTCATATTTTCTCGTCACTAAGCTGCGCATAGCATAATTAGTGTCCCAATATATTGCACCGGCGGTGCAACAATGCACGATTCGAAGAAGCAGAAAAACAGCAGAAGAGAAAAAAGCAAAGGAAACCGGTAGTCGAGTCGCATGATATACGACGAACAGTGTATGCGTTGTATTACGTACAATACGCAGGTACGATTAGGAATACAATAGTGGCGATATTTTACACATATAATAATAGATACGTTTATCTATTACTTCCACGTGTATGTACGTATATGTCACATCACCTGACACAGCAACCATCGACGTTCGTGATTTTTGCTGAAACTAACCGACAAGTGAAACTTTGAATTTTGATCTATCCAAGTGTGCGTACAGTAACCGTTGCACTGTTACTGCGCACATGTAATCACAGATGTGCAAGTTATTAAAATTGTGTGCCTTTATTATATAACATTAAACTGTTTCGTCGGTGACACGCTCTGTACGAGTCGCCACGACGACGAGGCGAAAACATCGAGCACCATGTCCCACTTGTCCCTAAATATTTTATGAATTATTCGTCTGCCTTTCTCCCCCTCTCTTTTGCTCTTTCTTTTTTCTCTCTTTCTCTCCCGCATAGTTTCTTTCAAAATCATTCGAAATATTTTATGACGGCGTCTCATTATATATATAATATGATACATTTATGATTTTAATTTGTTGCTATTTATTTCCGTGCATAAATAAGTAACGAGTAGCGTTGAGATTGTTCCTGAAACTATGAATCGGTGTATTACCGGTATATTGTTTATATATGTTAGATTTTATGTTAGATTCACTTAGTAACTTGGTTTCTCGCAGTGGTTGGTTATATTTCATCGTCTATATTTTATTTAATCGAATATGAAGAAAGAGCGACATTTCCCGGGGTTAAAATTCACCATTTATCATTCTTTTATGCCAGTTCTCCAATATAATTACCATGCAATTAAACGTTATACATCAAATATGCTACGCGTTATGCATATATTTAAAGAACTGTAAGATTACAAGCAAATTATATATAATTCATGCGTGCAAGTACACGTGGATTATCACACATGGCAAGTATTAACATTTTTCGCGGACAGAATTTACGTATTATTGTATAACAACGATTTGATTATCGTAAATATACAGCATTATCGCGTGCAGTTCGTTTGGGTAACTTTACACAGGTATCAGTCAAAAGTATAAAAATACTCGAAGCAAATGAATAGCGAAAGAAACGTGGACGTTGCTCAATTCGTCGCGCGTTTAAACAATACTCGAAATGATAAGAAAGCAACGCATACGTACGTACGTGCGCAGACCTGATAATATTAACGCGATTGCTTCATTATCGTCTGAATACTGCTGAAACGCGCGGCAAATTAATGCACATCTTTCTGCCGCTCGTGTGTATCCGAGGACTCACGTGTCACACGTGACGGCAAAGCAGATCGTAGGAAACGGCGATTACATTTACGTAAAAAGTGTGAGAGCGATTGCGAATAACGCAGAAAAGTTGATTATTTTTTACTCGCGAAACTATGTGAAATGCTCTCGCATTAGTTGTAGCTCGGTTGCGCGCAAAAATAACAGCTCGATAAATTTCCACGGGTCACACATTTTGTTTTGTAAATTTCGGACATTATACGGACTCGTAGTTGCAGTTACTTGCATAATTGCATATTCGCGCGGAAATTATATCGTGGTATTATTGTCGAGGAATATTTTAGAAAGGAACACTTCGTTGCGAAACTATAAACAACCGTTGCCGTTTTTAATTCTACTAACGTCAGATCGTAGTTACGTGAGTTCGAGTGTTTGATTGTTATCGACTTAATAAATTTCCTTTCTAATAATATTGAAAGTGGTTCGAGTGGACAGCATGTACACAAATAGAGAAAAGGGTAAGGTAATTTAACCTAGCATGCAAAAGTTGCAGGTTTTGCATTCTGACCGGTCCGATTTCGTAAGGTTTATCTACACTGAGAAACCCGTTTGATTGATTCAAGCAGGATTCTTGTTTGAATATAGACAACAAATGTTTTAGTGGTGAGAATTAAAATTCGATTCTCCGAATCCAAAGGCTCGGTTTTCGGGAGCGAAAATTAAAAGGATTTGGTTCCGAGAAAACCAAATTTCGATTCTCATAATCAAAACATTTGTTTGTCCATATCCCAAATAAATCTTGCTTGACTCAACTAAGTGGAGTTTTCAGTGTATCAGAAGAAAAAAAATCGATGCGCTATCGTGACCGTGCATACGTAGGCAATCGGCGAGCGTCTTTGAAATTCCTGACAATTACTCGCGTGATCTGTGGGTATGCGTTTCGCGAACACACCTTACGGAAGTCTAAATGAACGTTCGTGTGTTGGTTCAATCAAGTTCTGCCTCGAAAACGGGGCGGGCGATCCCTCGCATAAAATCTGCTGCGGCAGGATTCTGTCGCAAGGACCCGCGACTCGATTTGCATGGCGAATTAATTCAACTCGGCGACCTTTATAAGGAGCGACATTAATGACGTTAATGACAGTCTGACCGGGAGAAGCTCGAAGCTGTGTGCACGGGAGAAATCTCGCGAAAGACACAGACAGCAAAGGATACGCCGGTCGCATCTATCATGTCATTTCCATATTCGACGAACGTATACGAACGCTATCAAGGATTTATTTCAATATTTGACATACATGTTCTAAAGGGAGATGCATGAGAAGATTAGAATAGGATTCGCTTGGGTCTCGAAATGTTGGTTCGGGGCAGAAATAACTCGACGAAGACAGCAAATATTTATTTTTTTCGCTCACAGAGATATCGATAAACTATGTTTATTAAAAAAAAAACTCTGAAAAAGTCTCTGCACGTAAGTCAAATTTTGCAAAATAACCGGCGGCGCGATTTAGAAAATATTGCAATTTTTATAACTAATAAATCTCAAGACGCATAATCGCAACATTAATTTATTTTCGATGACATATGTAAACTTTTTCCGATCGTAAAATTTATTCTATTTCTCCACGGTGATTGGATATACCTTTCATCGCGATTATATAACAACATTACTATGGTTATTTACGAGTTAATCGACTTTCTAAAATTCTCCGCCCCGACTTTCAACGTATACATAAACATTCATCATCTGTTCGCCGAACTCTCAAGTTGTTGAAACGATACAGACAACTCTCGTATTTATCTGTAATTTATATCACCGATCGCCGTTCGCGAGACACACGAGTGCACGTTGATATTTGCAAATCGTAGGTTCGAGACGTTTCGCCTTGCAAATTCGAGCCTACAATGCCATTTCAGTATGCGTTGAAAATAATTTCGACTGCAATGTTAATGCATGATCGCCTGCGTTTTACCCGCTCGCTCCACCTATCGATCCCTTGAAATCGATCTAATAAATATAAAACATCATGCTGCATAGTCCGTCGCTCGCCGCCTCGCTGCATCGAATGTGCTGAAATCATTGTAGGAATCTGTTATTGCACACACTCGCTTTTACGTTAACGTCCTTGCGAGTCTTATCTCTTTTTCTACTTATACTTTCCACTACGCTAGATAGGAAATTCTTTAGTAATCACATCGATATGTCCTTGTCACGCTAAAAGTATACTACAAGTATTACCGTACTTGTTATAAAAACACAAATCGAAAGTTGAATTGTTCTTGATTTCAACCTGTATTTGAATATAAAAACCTAAAAACAGCTGGAAAATATTAAATTACTAAAATTAACAACCGCAATATTAGTTACTTCGTACGCTTTATACGCATTAAGAGGATGATTTTCTTCTTTATGATGTAAAGTTTCCCACAGTTTGAAATTCCCGAGTTGTTTGAAACTTATGAAATGATCATTCGAACCCGTTGCGTCTCGCGTATATCGGCACGAAAGTCAGATACAGGAAGATATCGACATCATTAGCATATATGCGCGAGTACTCGTCCTACCTCGCGCAGACTTTCACACGACAATAAATGAACAGATACAGGTCGTTCTCGATATTTTGCGAGACGCGACGTTTAAATACAGTTAACCGGGTAGATAAACTGACAACCCGTTCTCGCTCTGCCCTTGGAACTCTGTGCGGCTTCGCATATTCATTTCTCCGCCCGTTACGTAACACTTACACGACGATAGCCGGAGCATCCGCTTTAGTTGTTTCAAGTCCGTATAAAGAGCGAAATTTTTTCGTTTTGAAATTTAAAAATTTCTAACAAAACCGGTCGGAATTCGTCGTATCCGATTGTTTAAACGGTCGACGGGTGATATTTGATGTTTCGAAGTATTAATTTAAAAGATATCCCCGAATGACATACGGAAGATTAAGACTTGACTACCGGTATCTTTCTCATATCCGTGTTGTTTTACTGCGGACTAAGATCCGCGGCTTAAAAGCAGATCGA